AAGATGCCGGCCACAGAGACTGGTGAAACATTAGGAAAAACCACCTTCAGAACACGGCCAAGAAGCCCGAAAAACCCACAACAACCATTAGATCCCGCCCGTGAAAGCCTTCACCAATACGTAACTAGAGAAGATAAGAAAATAAAGGGAATAGAGAATAAAGAAAAAAATTTAAATTAATTTATTTGCAGATGATACATTATTAACAATTGAAGACCCATTAAAAGTTATAGAAAATATTAAAGTGTTTTTAAAAACATTTGAGGAAGTAATAGGGTTAAAGGTAAGTGGGAGTAAATCAGAGTTTATACTAGCAAATTATTATAATTAAGAGAGAAAGAAAACTAAAAATAAATTTGAGGGTAAATTAAAAAATAGTACAGTGGTGCCTCGCACAACAAGTGCCTCACACAATGATGAATTCACACAACGATGCCTTTTTCTGTTAAATTTGCTGCCTCACACAGCGATGTTTCCTATGGGGGATTTTCACACAATGATCTCCCTTTTCGCTCCTGTAAAAGTGTCTTACAATGTTTGGAAGCTGTTTTAAATGATTGCAATGGTTAGCCCACCTCCTGAAACCTATGCAAACTGATTTTGGTGCTGTTCTGACACTTCGTTAATTTATGATGATTTTTTGAATTTTCTCCATTGGAAACCATTGGATGGTCTGCCTACATTCCAATATAGGAAACATTGTTTCACTCAACGATGTTTCCTATGGGGATTTTCACTGAACGATGGCAATCCGTTCCAATTGGAACGGATTAACCGGTTTTCAATGCATTCCTATGAGAAATGGTGTTTCACAGAACGATGTTTCACACGCTGATTTTTTTGGAACCAATTAACATCGTTGTGTGAGGCACCACTGTATTTGATATTTAGAAATAAATATTACTTGAAATTTGCAAGATATTATAAAAATGAATTTTGACAAAGTGGAAAAAAACAAATAAAGGAACAAGTAAAGGAATACCAAAAGTGATTGTGGTTCGGAAGAATAGCGGTATCAAAAATGAAGTTAATCCCTGTTAAATTTTATATTTTGGATGTTACTCCTAAATATAGGTGAAAAGGAATTAAAAGAACTGCAGAATATGATTAACATGTTTTGTAATGGAAATAAAAGAATAAGAATAAACAAAAAATTATTGTGTATAGAGATATATAGCAAATCAGTTGAGGCACATTCCAGAGATTATTGCAAATAGTAAAGAGACAATATGGAGAGATTAGGAGTTTTATAAATACAAAGAGAGTACGGAGAATATTTTTTAAAGGAACATATAAATGATATTGTGAAAAAAATATAGATAATCCATCTTTAAGTTGAAAGAACTAAAGTTGAAAAAACTACAGTGAAATAATGAGTCAATTGAGTCAAGTGGTAGAATTAAGAAATTTTCCAGAAAACCTGGGCTAGACAAGGCCGCGGAGACAAATCTACCACCCACCCACCCGCATGCACTCTCCCCCCTCAATCTGAAGAAATTATTTTCAAAAGGGAGAAGGTGGAAGGTAATAAATATAGAAAAAGGATGGTAAGTGTAATATATGTTATAGTGGTGGGATACAAAATAACAACTCTTAAAGAGGTATGGCAAGAAGATATAAACAAAGAAATAAGTGGAGATGAATGGAATAAGATGTGGAACAAAAGAATAATGAAAAATATGTTTGTAAGGGTTAGGGAAAATTGTTACAAAGTAGTATGGAGATACCATTTAACTTCAATTAAACTGAATATAATGAATAAGTACCATGTAAGATGTTGGAGATGTAAGAAAGAAAAAGAACATATTTACTTATGTGGTGGACATGTGAAATGATGCAGAAAGAATGGGCAATGATTTTTAAAGGGATATAGGAAATTATGTGTATAGATATACAAAGGTGTCCAATGATAGTTTTGTTAAATATGTTTGGAAATAATCAGTTAGAATGGGACGGGGGAGGAATTAATTATTATTATGTTAACAGCTTCAAGACTGATATTTGCAAGGAACTGGAAAAATAATAATTATCGTATTTTTCCGTGTATAAAATGACACTTTTCCTAAAATATTTAGAGGAAAAATTGAGGGTAATTTTATACATGGAAGGAGGCACGTGCGCTCGGGTGCCTCTTGCTGCCGCTGCTGCCCAATTGCCTCTTCCAGAGTTCAGGGCTTGTCCCCTCCAGAGGCCAAGGCAGCAGGAGGAGGAGGAGGTGGAAGTGAATATTCTCAGGGGCCTGTTGCTGCTGTGTCCCCTGCTCCCCCGCTCCCCCGATCACCACCTCCAGTAGGACTTATGGGCTCAGCTCACATCGCGGCCTTGTCCCCTCCAGTGCTGGAGGCAGCAGGAGGCGGAGGCAAGTTGTTCTTTATCAAGAGTGGCAGTGTTGCGAAAGTCACCTCTCCTCCCACTCCACCTCTGCTTGTGGCTTGTAGGGATCAGATGAAGAAATGCTGTAAAATCTCTCACTGTTTGTCATAGAGTTGCCTAGCATTTTATCAATGATATGCTGTTTCAATTTTAGGCAGGAACTGATGCAAGAATACTTTTTGTTGCCAGCCCAGGCCATGGTATCCATCAAATGCTCATCATATCACATTGATTCTCACTGTGTGCTTATGGGAGATGCTGCCCATGCTGTCGTGCCATTCTTTGGTCAAGGCATGAATGCTGTGAGTTGGAGTGTCCACTCTGTAACTTCTAATCTTTTGCATATCTCTATAATGCTATATTTTGGAAATATGCATGTTCAGTATTACTTCATGAAATTATCAGCTTTTGGTACTGAAACACTCAACCGGCAACCTTAAGATGTCTCTGTTACTCAGTCAGATGGATCTGACAACATGATAGGAGGGGCTCCTATCTCCTGTGCAGCCGTCACTGATAAAGGATCTAGGGATTCCTGCTCTGTGGCTCCTGTCTCTGCTCAAACATTTATTTATTTATTCTATCTAGCTATCTATCTATCTAGCTATCTATCTATCTTTCTTTCTTTCTTTCTTTCTTTCTTTCTTTCTTTCTTTTCTTTCTTTTCTTTCTTTCTTTGACTTATATGCCACCCACACTACCCAGAGGTCTCTGGGTGGTTTACAGCAATTAAAATACAATTTTAAAAAACAGTTAAAATACAATTACAATAGATACTCTAAAAATTGCCACCAGGACCCACAGTTGATATTATTTCAATTAGAAGCCTTCTGGAACAGGAAGGTTTTGACCTGGCACCAAAATGTCATCAACATTGGCGCCAGACAAATCTCGATTGGGATGGTGTTCCATAGTCGGGACTCCTTTCGCTCTACAAGGAGAGAGGCTTTGGGGAAGGTTTCATGGAGAGCACCATCTACTAGAGTCTGCTCCTAGGCAGGCTGCATCAGACAAACAGTAGTTCCCTTCCCATGTTCCTTGCTCTAAGAATTGAATAACCCAAATTAATTGTTTTCCTCTGGCTGTTTCTTCAGGGATTTGAAGACTGTTTGGTTTTTGATGAATTAATGGATCAGTTCCGAAATGATTTCTGTGAGTATCTAACTATCAGGAAAAATAGCAACCTTATATGTATGTGTTTGTGCACACACACACACACACACACACACACGCACACACACACACACACACACACACACACACACACACACACACACACACACACACACACACACACACACACACACACACACACTCCTCTGCCGTGCTTTCTTTGCAGCATGTGAAGGCTGCAGTAGGATCATGCTCCTTTCTGCAGACCACTCTGCACAAAAGTTTTCCTATGTGTTGACTGAATGTGTGGATAACTACAATTTGTCATGGTTGTTCCAAAATAATTTGGCTGATACTAAATTCTGCTAATAATCCATGCAGTGCAAAGTTTTCCAGTGTAACTCTTGTCCACATTTGGATAAGATTCCCAAAAATTCTTCCTGATATTACTGTGATCCACAACAACAATGCCTGCAGTTGGAAGTGTTACAGAAAGCATCACATAAAATTGGGATATTCTGGTCTCATAACTTTTAAAGTTTCAAACATAAGATTTCATCCCTGTTTTGGTGCAATAATATGTCTTTCTCTATATAGTAAGTTTCCTTTACTAGCAGCCATACTGTTCATAATCTAGACTGCAGGTGATCAGTAATGTTTAATGGGAAAGGTTATGCAAATGTGTTTTAAGCTAGATATGCAATAAAAACTCACGTTGTGTGAAAGAAAGTTTCATGGCAATCAAAAGTGTAAGTGTGACATTTAATGCTGCAAATTGACCCAATAAAACATATATTTCAGCGTTCATATCTTGCTTTCAATTGTATTCATTGTGTTTTAAAAGGCCTCAGAATTGTGTAACTTCCTCCTGCAAGAAGTTTGGTTGGCATCCTCTTTACAGGGTCTTAGGAAAGTAGCAAACACTTTTTTATTCCTTCATGTCTTTCATCTACATTAAACTAGCTCTTGTGAATTTTACATTTTTGTCATATTATATGCATTCTATAGAACTATTTTGATTACTTAATTGATAGTGATATATTGTACTTGTTTTGGACATGTTTGTGTTCTTTATATGGCAACCATCAGTTAGAGAAGGGAAGGACCATAAAGTTCAAAGGGTAAGGTACAAATTTTCTAAAACAAAATAACCGTTAAGTTAGAATTTCTAGCAAGTAGGTTTCTCTTCAGTTAAAGATCTTCCTTCTTTCCTTGTCTGCCAAACATATGATGCATGAAAAGGGAGCCAGACAAGAAAAAAAGAAGTGCTTGTTATATAATTACATATGATTACATATTTTACCATGTGATTATGCTTTTTAGTGTGCATTCTGTCTCAAAATGTAGAAGATGGCTCATACACTGTCTCCACTATCACCTCCATACACCACAGCTATTTTTTGGTCTGTACTGATAAATTTGGGGGTAAGGGGAAAGCAGAACAAGCATGAGGTGATGGCCAACTTAGCACACTTACTCCACATATGGAAAAAAAAAGAAACTGTATTCAGTGGAGGTTGTGATAAAATCTCAGTATAACTACCTCACATACTGGACAGAATCCTATTGGATAAATATTCTTTAGGAATGTCAAGAACGGGCATGGCTAACTGATTGCAAGCAGGCTTGTGACCAGGCATGCAATCAACATGTGACTGACATTTTGTTGATTGTTAAGTTGTTCTTTCATTTTTGTTTCATCTTCTTTGTGGCAAGATGTTGTATCTCGCCCCCTCATGTGTACTATTCTTTAGTCTAGATGGGCGGGGTATAAATTTAATAACACAAACAAATAAATAAATTTGTTTAATACAAAAGGAAGCAGCTCTTTTGGATATTTTAATTTTGTGTTTCCTGGCACAAGTAGTTCAAAATAATACTCTAAGAAAGGAGGGGCAAGGCAGGCAACAATCTTAAAACAAAAAAACTACCCTCCAAGAAAAACTAACAGGAAAAGCACAAACAGAGTTTCTGAATTAAATTTTAAACTTTGAATTTTGAATTCTCTGTAGATATTCCCTTATGTTACCAGGGTGTTATCCTGTAACTGTGCTAAATGTATTATTATGGTTTTATACTGCAATAAAGTTATTCAACGGGAAAGAAAGAAAACAGCAACAACAAAAACAACTCCTAAACACCCCCCAAAAATGAAGCAAGGAAATAAATGTGAAAAATACAATCAAAGCTACCACACACCAACAATACTAGGTAAAGATTCCCCTTGACATTTAGTCCAGTCGTGTCTGACTCTAGGGGGTGGTGCTCATGCCTGTCTCCAAGCCATAGAGGCAGCGTTTGTCCGTAAACAGTTTCCATGGTCACATGGCCAGTGCCACATTGTTATCTTCCCACCGTGGTGGTACCTATTTATCTACTCGCATTTACATGCTTTCGAACTGCTAGGCTGGCAGGAGCTGCGACAAGCGACGGGCGCTCACTCCGTCGCATGGATTCAATCTTACAACTTCTGACCTTGCAGCACAGAGGCTTCTGCTACTAGAATATGGGGAAATTTCTCTTTCTCCTACCACTGAACGCATTTTCCTCTAAGTCCAGCATCCAAGCATGGCAGCACAAGATGGAACTAGCACACAGATTCTCACACAAATGACTGGAGCAAAGCTCTCCCTCTGTTGGGTTTAAACAGACATTGTGCAATTGGATCAAAAGTTTCCAAGGTAATTTGACAGACAAAGGGTGAAAGAAAGGTTAATCAAAAAAAGGAAACACAAAAGAACATACATTTTGGGTCATGTCTTTCTTTTAAGCAAACAATTACTGAACGAACCACTTCCGTTTAAGATGCTCTCTTTTTTAAAAATCAAAAGAAGAACCCTTTTTGTGTATTTTTTCATTTGTATTGAAATGAAAGTCTCATCTATTTGTTGAAGCATCTGTAATTACTCTTGTGTCTGAATAAATATGCAATAGGATTGTGGACATTATATTTTTAGGCATACTTATGAGATATTTTAATATAACCTTAAGCATGTGAAACATGCAAACAATACATGTTAGAATGCATGATTGGCTACTGCTTCTTTCTAAGTGTGTGCTGTATGGCAAACTAAATTTTACCACTGTATGAAATGACATTGCTTTTTCTCCAGCAATCTGCCTTCCAGAATTCTCGAGACTGAGAGTACCTGATGACCATGCCATTTCAGACCTATCCATGTACAATTATACAGAGGTAAGTATAACACAGAGTAAATGGCAACTAACTATAGGTTTGCAACTTGGAGGTGCTTTTTGATTCAGCACTTTTGCTGGAACAACAAATATTCACTTTGGCCAGACATGCTTTCTTCCAGCTCTGGTGGATTGCTCACTTCTTCTCCTATCTGGACAGCAAATCCATGACAACATTGTTTTTTGCACTGGTAATCTCAAAAGTCAATTACTGCAATGCTCTCTACATGGGGCTGCCCTTGAAGATGGTACAGAAACTCCATCAGGTCCAGGATGATATCCAGGGCAGTAAATGCAATCATATCTCCCCAATCCTGCTCTCTTCCATTGCATCCTTGTAAGTGTCCATGCCAGATTCAAGGATTTAGTTTTGACATATAAAGCCTTGAATGGTTTAGGACCTCGTTACCTGTCAGAGTGTTTCTCCCAAATAATAACTAAATATTCCTCCCAGGCCTCAATTCTTACAGTGTCCACTCCAAGAGAGATCAAAAGAATGTTAACTAGAAATTGGGCATTCTCAGTAGTGACCACACCATTGTGGAACACTGTCCCACTACAGATGCATCAAGACCCCTCCCTTTGTATTTTTAGAAAATTTATTAAAGAAGAATTTTACAAAAAAGCCTTTAGAAACATAGTACCTATGAGGGAGTAATAGCAAAACTATATTTGGATGTCGCCAGATAATTTGTCTTTTTTTCCTTTTTCATATTGTTACTAATTTTATATTGCTGCTTATTTAACAATTATATTGTTTTTATGTTCTTCTCTTTTGTTCACTGCCCAGAGAAGTAGGTTGCCACTAAGTGGGGCAGTATATAAATACAAGACACAAACAAACAGTGTAGTGAGATATATGGGCAAATATAAATGCCTTTTTTGCTGGTTTCAGATGCGGGAGCATGTGAATTCAAAATGGTTCATTTTCCAAAGGAATGTGTTCAACTTTCTTCACACCCTCATGCCTTCCACCATTATCCCTTTGTACACTATGGTAAGAAATATAACATTTAAGAAATGTTTAAACCATGTCCTCAACACTGGGCACGTTTTTTAATTCACAGTTGTCTTGTTTTAATTGTTGTGGTCTACCTGAGTGATTCTGTAATCTGATTTAGGTCACATTCTCAAGAATCCGGTACCATGAAGCTGTGCAAAGATGGAAATGGCAGAATAAGGTCAGTGGTGTTTAGAAGAATCTGCCTGGAGTAGATTTATGGTGCATCTTACTTTCTGAATTTTTTTCTTTCAAGAAAGACTAAAGCTTGATAAGACGCCTAACGAACGTTGAGGATGAAAATTGTGTGTGTAGTGTGGGGTGTATGTGTGTGTGTGTGTGTGTGTGTGAGTGAGTGAAACACATGCAAAAATGATACAAGTCTTAGTGTGCCACAATCCTGTACTAGCTGACAAGACTTGCTTATGGATGGCTCAGATTCCATATTGGTAGAATATCCTGCTAAAAATGGAACAGGTACTTTCCTCATCCTTCAGTCAGTTATATAGTTCTGTAACACCACTCTTCAGTGGCACTTCTCTCTCTTTTTGGCATTTCAGTTTAAAAGGTTATATCAGCTCTGTTTAAATGGCATATACTGAAAGAGCATCACTAGGGCAGGGTTTATGATCACATGGAGTTTTGTTAGTAAATTTTGCTGAAAGCAATTAGAATTCCTTTTCAGACCTTGCAACATAGGGAGGAAGGGCATAGAGGTTGGGTGATTATCCCCCTGCCTCCTCTCCACCACTACAGAATACTGTATGATACCTGAATAGGTTTTTGGTTTACGCAAGGCAAGCCAGACATTGACTATAGTGCAAGCTACAAAGCAAGTATGATACTCACTCTTTACAAGTAAGAGCATTCAGTCATGCCTGTTACGTACCAATGAAGGAGACTGTGGGAAAACACTGCATTTTGATCTGTCCATTTGGTTTTGTTATGTCCTACCAGTGACATAACAGTGCCCTGGGCATGAAGTTACAATCTAAACAAATAGCAGGAAACACAGCATTGACAATCTGTATGGAGTTTAAAAGAGTTGTGGTTCGGTTGGTTACGGCTGGTATGAAAAAATGTTTAGTACTAAATTGCCAAATGGGCACAAGGAGTAGCTTTGTTTACTTTGGTCAAGCAAAGATTATTGGCAGTTAAAAGTAAACATATCTGGGCAGGAGATCTGAAATACATCAGACAGAAGTCTATTGAGAACAGCTAGGGATAGTTTGTGACAGTTAATGGCTGTTGAAGAAAGACTTCTCTGACATGGGGGAGGAAAAAGCCCAGTCAGAAAGGGAGCCCTGCTGGAAATTGGATAGGCCAGAATGGGTGCCTGTAGAGTGTGCAGGAGTCTGTACTGAGAGGAAGGATTAAGTAGAGTCAGATACCAAAGGGTTTCAGGTATAGGTATTGATGTGATGCAGTTCAGTTTATTGTTATAGTCCTTAGACCACTCATATAGAAAAAACAACCCTTTACAGAGGGATGCTGTCTTAAGCAGATACTTGAGTTGGAAAGTTAGAGACTCTGTGTATGTTCAATGTGTATTCTATTTTTATCCTATTTTTATCCTATCCTATCTAGACTCAAACTGGATTTCTTCTTGCAGGTACTAAATACAGCCCTTTCCCTTACTGTGGCAGCAACAGCTTCGACAGTTATCTTTCTGCTCAGAAATGGCATAAAGCAAAAAATAAACTTCTGTGTGGAGAACCTGTGGAAATAACTGTAGATTTTTGGAAGTATTCGACAGAACTATTAAAGAATCATAAAATACAGAAAGTACTGTTTGACATAAGATCTTCCAAGTGTTTAAGGGTTGAAATATTATGTACATTGCTAATGAGACATTTTCTGTGGACCAGGGGCATTATGTCATCTTCTGGCTTCCTATGGAATTGGTGGACACGTCACATTAGTTAGATGGTCTACACAATTACTCTGTTTTGTGACTGTTAAAGGACATGCAAAACATGGGAATATAATCATATGTATTTCTGAACGTGTTGGAATTTGATCAAAGTTTTGAGTCTCAATCAACTTGAAGTATCTTTGTCCAGTGATTTAAAAAAGAGTGATTTAAAACAGATCCTTTGGTCTGTTTAGGGTGATTGACAGAGACAAGTAGTCATGATTACTTAGAATAGTAATTAGGTAAAGCTAGACAGCATTTATTCTTTTATTGGGGTTCACTAACACTGTACCCGCTTTTAGAGCATGCTTTGCATTGTAATAGTACAATTTACTTCCTTTTGCATAGTTTATATTTTGATAATAATTTTTTTGATAATTTATTCAAGTGTAAGTCTTCTGGGGTACAAGGGTGAAGTGCCTAAAGAAAGTGCCTTAGCCATGGAGCTGTGCTGGTAACTTTTGTTATTTGGGTGTCCTGCCTGCTCTGGCTGTTGTGCAGGTCTCAAAGTACACAGCTATAGGAAATTCTGTCTCAAAATAAGGGGATAGGTGGAAATCTAGGTTTAGAAGCCTGCCCATAACTACCTATCCATGATTTCACCAGCCAGTTCAAAGAGTGACGGAACATGGTAGCTGAAGCTGGCTCCTTTACTTAGTGGAAAACTCCTTTAAGGAAGAGTATTCCTGACAAAACCTTATAAAAATAACTTTCAGATTAACTGCCATAATGTTAGACACAGTATCTTTCAATGGAAACAGTTCAGACGTTCAATAATATCTGTCCATAATAGTGTCTTGTGTTAGATTTGAATTAGGAAGCTTTGAGTTCTAATTCCTCCCCTATCTTAGCATTCACTGGGCAGCGTAGACAGGAATAAAATCCTCAGCAGAACTGACCTCCCAGCATCCTTGTGCACAATGGATATTGGACAGAGGAGTTGGAGAGGGGCAACAGCTCTTAAGGGTTTTTTCAGAAAAGAAGCAGTAAGAGCTGCTGCTCAAAATGTTTATGATAAACGTTTGTCCCTACTGTGTCCCCTCCGCTGTGGTTTTTATAGCATATTTCAAATTAAGAAATTTATAAACCTTTTCTGACATGTGAATGCACGTTATTAAAAGTGAATGGGTATTCAACAGTGAAATGGTTCTTTAAAATAAACCCATAAATTTACTCTACGTACAGGTTAGTTATTATGCTCACAAATCATTTTCTCCATACATGCTTAAATAATTTAGATTATAGGTGCTGAATTCTTTAACAGGAGATAAAGAAGCAATGCAGACTCAGCTATCAGTATAAAAACTAGAAATGCAAGTTAGGATAATTCCACAGGGTGTGTGATTATGCAATCTAGCACCTAAGTCTATTTTTTTAAAAATCAATGTATAAAACTACAGTGTATAAAAACTACATAAAAGTTTCCTGTAAGTACATGATATAACAATGATAATAGAGGCATTGTGGGCAATAAAATTTATATCTTCATCTTCTCTTTCTTTGCTGAAAAGTTTCTTTATGCTTTTTAATATTGCTGTTGTTCCACTTCACTGACCATTAAATCTGGGGTTCACAACAGTGGTGGTGGCACTCTTGAAAAGAGGATTATCAGCCTGCCAAAGAAAATATCATGTGTTAATTGTAGCTGGTACACGTGTCAAACTTCAGAAGAACAGATTCAGATTCAGGTAGATGATTTACCTAACATCCTGACCTGCACCAAAATAAGGCTGCTAAAAAAAGGAGTACAGTGGTGCCCCGCATAGCGACGATAATCCGTTCCAAAAAAATAGTCGCTATCCGGATTCGTTGCTATGCGGGGGGGAAACCCATAGGAACGCATTAAAACACATTTAATACATTCCTATGGGGGAAAAACTCACCGCTATGCGGGAATCCTCCATCCGGCCACCATTTTCGCTGCCCGGTAAGCGAGGAAAGGGCGTGAAAATGGAGCAGGTGGCCATTTTTTCCGGCAACCATTTTGGAACCGCCGATCAGCTGTTTTTAGAACATCGCAATGCGATGTTTTGCCTATTCAAAACATCGCAATGCGATCGCATTAGCTATTGAAAAAAATGTGTCGCTATGCGGATTCATCGTTAAACGGTGCACTCGTTAAGTGAGGCACCATTGTAGTTACTTAGGGGATAGGGAGAATTTCTTTAATAAAGACAACTTCAGTTCTAGACCAACAAGTGACCATCTTGCGAGCCTTAACACTGGCCAGAGAAAGAAAAAAAGTGCCATCCAATAATGTACATGGCAAGCATTGTTCTCATTCAAAAGCAGTTTTAGATAGACAAGATAGATAGAAGAATTATATATATGGCCTGGAGTGCATTTGCACAATTAAAACTAGGGTGCCAGCTGCACCTCTTCTTAAAGCGGTCTGATCTGGCCATAGTGACAGGTGACTTTATTTACATCATGGCTGGATTACTGTAATGTGCTATATGTTGGTCTGCCTTTGGAAAGTGTTGGGAAATTTCATCCTGTCCAAAGCACTACTGCCAGATCATTAAATGGGGTTGGTTACAGAGATTACATAACCCCGTGTTATGGCAGTTCTACAGACTTTTTTTTTTTAAATTATTTTCCCAACATAAAAATGTACAAAAACAACATCTTATGTGTGTGTGTGTGTGTGATGCCATCTATAAAACATTTTGTATAGATTTTCCTTATAAGAAGTTGCTAATGTTAGCTTAAGATTTTTAGTCCACATTTGTTGCCATTTTTCTAGCTCTATACTACAGTGGTGCCCCGCAAGACGGGCGCTCCGTTTAACAACGAAACCGCTTGACGTTGATGTTTTTGCGATCACAAAAGCGATCGCAAAATGCTGTTCTCTATGGGGGAATTTCGCTTTGCGATGATTGGTTCCCTGCTTCGGGAACCGATTCTCACAAAGCAATGATTTTTTAACAGCTGATCGGCGGTTTCAAAATGGCCGCTGGGGAAACAAAATGGCTGCCCGCTGTTTTCTGGGATGGATTCCTCGCTGCACAGGCAGTGAAAATGGCCGCGCTATGGAGGATCTTCGCTGGACTGAGAGTTTCCAGCCCATAGGAAAGCATTAACCGGGTTTTAATGCATTTGTATGGGTTTTTAAAAATCACTTTACGACGTTTTCATTCTACAGCGATTTCGCTGGAACGAATTAACGTCGTAATGCGAGGCACCATTGTATATCCAAAAATTTTTGACCATTTTAACATTGTCTCCTTAACCTCTTCATCTTGAGTGTACCATTACAATAAAAATTTGTATACTTTTTGAATTTGTTGTCTTTCTATAGTAATATTCTATCAAGAGTGTATACTCTTGGAGTGTATACTTATAGAGAGTGAATACTCTATAAAATCCTCATTTTTTGTCCTGATTATAGATTGATTGTAGTTGCAATTGGGAACACCATGAAAGTCAGTCCTTGGCTCTCTAGTTGCGTTTTTGTCTTTAATAGTCCTTCCTCGTTTAAGAGCTCATTATATGTCGTTATTTTCTAAAAAATTAATAAATTTGGGTGAATGAATGCTTCCATCAATGAGATCCATCTAGGAGTTTTCATGTATATTTTACATTTAATTTTTCCCCAGACTTTTAACAAAGAAAGTATTTATGGGTTTTTGCTCTTCAATACCATAAAAAGGCGTGCCAGCCTGCTTGGAGGTCGTGTCCTTCTAGATATAATATTCTTCTGTTTTTTAAATTTTATCAATTCCTTAATCCAATTTAGAGCACTCGCTTGATAATATAAATTCCAATTTGGTAGACCAAATCCTCCCCTTTCTTTTGCATCTTGCAGTAGTTTACATTTGATTCTGGGCTTCTTCTTTTGCCATATAAATTTTGTAACTAGAGTGTTTAACTCTTCAAAGAATTTCTGCTCCAGTTTAATTGGTAGATTTTGAAAGAGGAAAATTACTTTTGGAAGAATGTTCATTTTACCTAAAAAGGATAATTGTAATTTCTCCCATGTTGCTAAATCTTGTTTTATCTGCTCAAAAAGTTTCCTATAATTGTCTTCTTTTAATGAGGAACATCTAGCGGTCAAATTAATTCCTAAATACTTTACTTTCTTTGCTATTTGGATTTCTGTATTTGATATAAGTTGAGTCTTTTGTTTTTGGGTTGAGTTTTTGGTTAATTTTTTTGTTTTTTCTTGGTTCATTTCTAATCCAGCTACATCGCCATATTCCTTTATTTGTTGGAGTAAAATTGGAGCTGTTTCCATTGGGTTCTCTAGAATAAAGACCAGATCCTCAGCAAATGTTTGGAGTTTATAGATTTCATCTTTAATCTTTGTTCCTTGTATTTCTTCATTCTTTCTAACTTCTCTATTTAGTATTTCCAATGAAAGAATAAACAGCAATGGGGAAAGTGGGCATCCTTGTCGTGTTCCTTTGGCAATCTCAATTTTGTCTGTTCCCTCTCCATTTACAATTATTTTTGCTATTTGCTTTGTATAAATTCCTTTTATCATATTTAGGAAGTTTCGTCCAAAGTCCATCACCTCCAATTGTATCTTCATAAATTCCCAGTTTAAATTATCGAAAGCTTTTTGAGCATCCAGGTATAAAAGTGCCATTTGTTTTTCCAGATGTGCTTCATAGTATTCTAAAATATCTATTATTATTCTTATATTATTCTTTGATTGTCATTTTGGGAGGAAACCATTTTGATCTTCATGTATAAATTGCATTAAGTGTTTTTTTTCAATCTTTCCGCCATAACAGATGCAAATATTTTGTAGCTACATTAAGTAGAGAAATCGGCCTATAATTTCTTATTTGTGTCGGATCTGTTCCTTCCTTAGGTATTTGTTTCCGACCAGGTTTTTGGAATCATCACTTCTTTTAATGCTTGGTTACATACCTTTTTAATGGTTCCATTATTTCTTCTTGGAATATTGTGTAGTATTCCACAGGGAGTCCATCTGGCCCAGGAGTTTTCTCATTTTTTTGTTTATTTATACTCTCCATAATTTCCATCATTGTTATTTCAGCATTCATCATCTTTTTTAATTTCTTCTGATACTTTGGGGAGATTTACTCTTTCCAAATAGTCTCTTATCCTCTTCTCATCTATTACCAACGCTTTATAAAGATTGGTATAGAAATGCATTATTATATTATTTATTTGGTTTTTTTCGAGTTTGTAGTATACCTTTTTTATTTTTTAAATCTATTAGTCTTTTTTTCTTTTTGTTTCTTCAATTTATATGTTAAGCAATGTCCTGGTTTATTTGCACTTCAAAGAAAGCTTGTTTTGCAGCCTTTATTTGTTGTGCCATTTCTTCTGTCTCCATAAGATTCAGTTTGTGTTTCAACATGTTCATTTCCTTTTTCACCAATTTATTGTGAGGGTTATTTTGTAGCTCTAGTTCCAACTTCTTCTGTTCTTCTTTCATATTATTATATCTCTGTCTTTTTGCTTTATTTCTTTTAATTATGTATGATATTGCTAATCCACGGAATACCACCTTTGCTGCATCCCATATCGTCTGTGTCGAGGTGTACTGTGTTTCATTTTCTTTAAAGTAGCATTTCATTTCTTTTTTTATTATTTATAAATTCTTGTTCTTTGGGGATCTTTGTATTAAGTGTCCACTTTCCTTTTTGTTTCCCTTCTCCTTTCTAGATAATTTTGAGTGGGTTATGATCTGCCCATATGTTTGTTTGTATATTTAATTCATCTATTCCTACCCTCAAGTCACTTGTTGTCCATATCATATCAGTCCTGGACCAGGATTCATGTCAGTTTGAATAGAAAGTATATTGTAATTTTTCTTCATTGTGTCTTCGCCAGGTATCTTCCAATCTTAACTCTTCTGCCATTTCAAAGAATATTTTGGGTAGTGCATTTCTTTTAATTTTTTCCTTTATGATTCTTTTTGTAGTCTTTTACTGGATCTACTATGGTGTTAAAGTCTCCTATTTAGCAAATATTTTGATAATTTTTCTCTCTTAGAATATTATAAAGCCTCTTATAAAATGTTTCTTGAGCTTGATTGGGGGCATATATAGCAGCTACCAGTGGTTTTTTTTTTACTATTAATCTCTGTTTTCACCATTAAGATTCTTTCCTCTTGGTCCGCGTAGATAAATTTGGCTTCCTTATGAGCTTTCACATAGATGGCAACTCCTCTCTTCTTTTGTTTAAGGTCACATGCATAAAACAAATTACCTATTTTTGGACATTCTAATAAGTTGCAGTTTTTTTCTTTAATATGGGTTTCCTGAAGAACAGTTATATCTGCTTTTTCTTTTTGTAGCTTCAAAAAAAGTTTTCCTTCTTTTCTTTGGAGAGTTTAGTCCATTTATGTTTACTGAAAATATTGTTGTTATTGTTTCCATATTCACTTATACAGTGGTGCCTCGCTAGACGGTTACCCCGCTTGAGGACGAAATTGCTTTACGATTGCTTTCGCGATCGCAAAACTATGGTTCCAATGGGACTTTTCCGCTCTACGATCACCTGCGTCCGCTTTAGAGCACTTTGGAGGCTTTTCCTGCACTGTCAGGAAAAGCCTTCAAAGTGTTCTAAAGCGGGCGCGGGTGGTTTCAGGGCACTCCCGCCAGGGCTCTGATGGTGCAGGAGAAGTCATCAGAACCCTGGCCGGGATGCCCCAAAACTACATGCCCCGGCTTTAGGGGTCCCCCGGGGCTTACCTTGCACCATGGGAGGACTCGCCCGGGTCCCTCTGCGCAGCGATCAGCGTTTGCAGAGGCTTATCTGAAACCCTTTTTAAAGTTCCCGCCTCTTCCTCCATCCTTCGGCAAGCCTCGGAAGGGAAAAATGCTCTTTTTTCTCCCTTTTCCCTTCCGAGGCTTGCTGAAGGCTGGAGAAAGAGGTAACTTTAAAAAGGGTTTCGGACAAACCTCTGCAAATGGCGATCGCTGCGCAGAGGGACCCGGACGAGTCCTCCCATGGTGCAAGTTAAGCCCCGGAGGACCCTAAACCACCCGCGCCGGCTTTAGAGCACTTTGGAGGCTTTTCCTGCACCATCAGAGGACTGGCGGGGGACCTCCAAAGCTGGCAATCACAGCGAGGGGACCCCCCACCAGTCCTCTCATGGTGCTTCCCCAGCTCCCTACCCCTTAAGTTCCTTTTAAAAAATTTTTCCCCCTAGGAACACATTAATTAATTTTCAATGCATTCCTATGGGAAATTTGGTTTCGCAAGACAATGTTTTTGCAAGACAGTGATTTCCGCGGAACAGATTAACATCGTCTTGCGAGGCACCACTGTATGTTGGATTAGTTGCTCTGGTTTTCCTCTTTCACTTGGTTTTGTAGTCAATCTCCATTTGTTTCCCTTGTTGTCTTGTCACGCTTCTTATTTTTGTCTCTGCTGAAGCACTTTGTTCTTCTCCCGTAGCTATGTATTTTTCATAGAAATCTTTGGTTTTATCCAGGCTATCTAATCTAAATCTTTTGGATTGCCAATTTAATATGATTCCTTCAGTTGTTAGCCATCTAAAATTTATGCCCTTCTCATTTAATTTTTTTGTGAAGAAGAAATATTGCTTTCTAATCTCCCAGATTTTCCAAAGAATCTGTTTTAGAATTTCAATTTCTTTACCTTGGATCCTTAATAGGTTTTCTCTTCACCTCTTCAATATGTCTTCTTTTATTTTCCTCCTCAGGAAAGTAATATGGACGTCTCTTGAGGTCTTGTTCCTCCTTGCAAAACTTGTATTTATTCTAAAAATCTGCCTGATTTCCCGACTCATCTGCGATTTTTCTATATCTAAGATTTCCGCCAAGACTTCCATTTGGTCTAAGAAATCAATGTCATTTGGTCTAATAAATCAATGTCAGTTCCACAGACTTTTGTTCTGTTTCTGGGCACAATTGGAAGTGCTGGTTCTAACCTACAAAGCCCTAAATGGTTGGGTCCAAGCTATCTCAAGGACCACATCTCCACATGGGAGTGCCAAGGATCAGGCTGACTGGCAGCCAATCTAGTCTTGGCTGAAGGATTTGTGAGTCAACTTTCTTTCAATGAGCATCTTAGCTTGTCTCCAAAGAAGACAATCATGCCCTTCAAGGGAAGGGGATGATTGTACAGGGAAGGAGAGAAGATGGCCAGTGAGCTACATAGCTGGGATGGGATTTATTATATAAATGGCCTGAATCACCAGATAGTACTTGGATAATAAAATGTTTATATGCTTTTGCAAGCCTTGGAGTTCTCCCCGTGTACTGTCACCTCCCTGCTTGTGCACAGGTGGAATGACTTTTGCCATGCAAGTATTGGTACAATGTTGGGCAGAGGGGAGGATAAATCAGTAGAAAGCTGATTCAATGAATAGGAAGGATACATTTCTGGGATCTACTAGAGAAGGAGGAGGTCACATATTATGTGGCTAAAATTGTGTGGGCAATCTCTCTAGCCTACTTATATTCATTCCTTCTTATGTTTTTGTTAATTCTACACCTGTTAATATATGCAGCTTCCATTCATACAATTGAAGCTGACTGTATTGTTTATAAACACCAACCTTTGAACAACTAGATAAAAGTCACATGTTGCCTTCCACATGTCACATAGGAGGAATCCAACCACGAGCTTCAGGCACCATATAACCAAGGCTTCAATCAGTTGGTTGTTGTGGGTTTTTTGGGCTCTTTGGCCGTGTTCTGAAGCTTGTTCTTCCTAACGTTTCGCCAGTCTCTGTGGCTGGCATCTTCAGAGGACAGCACTCTGTGCTCTGGTGTAGTTGGCTTGGGAGTAGAGTATTTATGGCTGTGAGATGGGCTTTTGTCTTTTTCTGTAGATGGGTGATTAGTGTGTTTTGTTGTGGGTGTATTGTGATAAGAAGGAGAAATTATCTGTCACTGTGGTTGATGGATGTCATTAGTTGGTCTTTTGTGTGTAGTGATCCCCTATCCTTGTGGCTGGGTAGAGTTCGTTGACCTTTTGCACGCTGTATTTTTGAGAGGGGGAGCTAAGTTTTGTTGAGTTTCAAACTTTCCTCTTTTTTGTTGAAGTTCTGCTGGTGCTTGTGGATTTCAATGGCTTCCCTGTGCAGTCTGATGTAATGATTGCTGGTGTTGTCTAGTATTTCGGTATTTTGAAATAGAATTTCATGTCCAGTTTGTTTTAGGGCATGTTCAGCTACTGCAGATTTTTCTGGTTGTTTTAGTCTGCAGTGTATCTCATGTTCTTTGATTCTGGTGTGGATGCTTCATTTTGTGGTTCCAATATATACCTGGCCACAACTGCAAGGTATCCGGTATACTCTTGCAGTGGTGAGGGGGTCCCTTCTTTCCTTTGCTGACCGTAACATTTGTTGTATTTTTTTGGTGGGCTTGAATACTGTTTGTAGGTGGTGTTTTTTTCAAAAGTTTCCCCATGCTGTCTGTGACCCCTTTGATTGTATGGCAGAAATACTTTATTTGTGGGTGGCTGTTTTTCTTCTTCAGTTCGGTGTTGTTTTCTTGGTTTGATGGCTCTTGTGATTTCATTTTTGGAGTAGCCATTTGCCTGTAGGGCCCAATTCAGATGGTTGAGTTCAGTGCTGAGAAACTGAGCTTTACACTTCCGATTTGCACGGTCTACCAGTGTTTTCATTAGGACT